CATGAGACAAGTGCTCGGGCCTGGTGCACTGGGAAGACCCAGAGGGATCGGGTGGAGAGGGAGGTGGGAGGGGGGACTGGGATGGGGAATACATGTAAATCCATGGCTAATTCATTTCAATGTATGACAAAAACTAATGTAATGATGTAAAGTAATTAGCCTCCAACTAATAAAAATAAATGGAAAAAAAAATAAAAGCATGATGGGGTTATCATTAAACCTTGATGTCTAGGATTCTTTACAGGAGGTTCTATGTACTTGATGCTGTTTCTCACCTAGAGGCATATGGATCAAGACATCCTACTGCCAGTGATCTTAAGTTTGATCATTTTGTGATGGTGGTAAATGCAGGCACTCTTAATGGTAGGTTTATGTTTCTCCTTTTGCAATTTAGAGTGATACTTTGAAATTTTGTGACTTGCTTATTCCTCATAAAACTTTTACTTTTTATTGGTTTTGGGGCTTCCCAGGTGACTTAGCAGTAAAGAACCCACCTGCCAATGCAGAAGACATGGGTTTGATCCCTGGGTCGAGTAGTAGATCCCCTGGAGGAGGAGATGGCAAACTACTCCAGTATTCTTGCCTGGGATTTCCCATGGACAGAGGAGCCTGGCGGGCTACAGTCTATAGAGTCACAAACAGTTGGAGACCACTGAGTGACTGAGCATACAGTCAATGAAAACACAGGTTCTTACTTAAATTTAAATTTCAGATAAACACTGAAGACATTTTTTGTATAGTATGTCCCAAATGTTGCATGGGGCATATGTATACTAAATTTTTGTTGTTGTAATCTGAAATTTAAGTATAACTATGGATCCTGTGTCTTATCTGGCAAGCCTAGACTCTCTATTATGGGGGAGCATTATGGAAAAGGAAAAGGGAAGTAAAGATACCAGATGCTGAAAACAATCTGTATAGATTTGGTGAGACTTCCTGGAGACAAGTTTACACATAAAGGTTTGGGGAAGCATGGCTGGAGATGCAGAAGATGCAACTGCATAGGTTTGGGATTGGTCACAGTGATGTATGCGGATGGTCCGAAAATATGCTGAGTTCATCCAGCGTGTACTCTTCTTAAATACTACTACGTACATACCCTGGAGTGGATACCAGTATAAAACAGAGTGGTGATCTTTGTATATTTCTCCAGTTTCTTCAATGCACTTCAGATGTTTCAGTGAAAGGACCCTGCAGCTTAAAGTCTGAGGGACAGGCAAGGTTTAGTGTCTCTGTAATGTCAGCCCTTACTTAATCTCTCTGTGCCTTGGTTTCTTCATCTGTAAAATGGGGATAATAATCATAGTATCTTTCTCTTGGCATTATTGTGAAGTTTAAATAGTTTAAACTACATAAAGTATATAACGTTGTGTTTGGTAAATAGTAGTTCAATGAATAGCACCATTACTTATTCCTCCATTATTGTATGAATGAGAATTGACTCATTTTTGTGTGTTCAATCATGAAAGCACTATGTTATCTATCAGGAATATGACTCTGCAACCAACCATGAAGGAATATCTGCTCCTGGTTTTAACCAGAATGGCAGTATGTGCAGCAACTTGAATTGGAAACATCTGGTTGGTTGAAGTTGAGGCAGGAGTGGAGAGGTAGGGGTGAGTGATGCTCAGGGGCTAAGCAAGAGGTGTGAAGATATCATGGCACCTGAAGCCAGATGACTTTCTGAAGGACATTTTCAGGAGACCTGGTATAGAAGGTCAAGGTTGAGACCAGCTCATTCATTACCGAGGTTGAAAGTGAAGAACTGAGCACATGTGGGTTGCAAAGGGTCAGGCAAGCTGAGAAATAGCTGTGAACACAGATCATGACCACAGTGTAGATTGTGGTTTGGGCAGCTGTAGTCTCTAGTTACACAAACCAGAACCTAGACAACCTATCACCCCACATATCCAATCCAGATCTTTATTTCTTTTACCTCCTAATATGTTCATCTTTTTTCCCCATTCCCACCTACAGCACCACCCTTAACTGAGCCAAACCATCTTTTGCTTGGACTGTAAATGACTCCCAACTGATCTCCCTGCATCTGTGATGGCTCCCTTTTCTTCTTTTCTCCATCATGCAAACAGAGGGATTTTTCTAAAATCAAATATGATCATGGGGCAGCCTGAAAAAGTTGTTCATGGTTCCCAGGACAGAGTTGCAATTCCTAAAGACTGTGATCCAACTCCCATGTATTCTCCTGCAGCTGTGTCTTCTTCCAGGGGCTGCTTCATGCTGGGCTTTCACAACCCTGGCCTTTCTTTGGCCCTGCTACTCACCACACAGCACCCAGTGCTGGGAGCTGCAGTTGCCTGTGCCTGGAGCACTCTTCCTCCTCCTTTTATCTACTTAAAATCTCATCCTCCCAATCAGAGTCAGGCATCAGGGAAATGAGGGATCATTTTCCCATGATGCTTTTAGAGCTAACTTCCAGTTATAGGAATTACAGGGGATAGAGACACAAAACAAATGACACCTAGAGAAATGATCCTTCCTTCCTCATTTTAGGCTCTAACAGAGCACCCTGAATTTCTCCTTTGTGTCACTTACATAGTTGAAATTCTACATTTAGTTATTTACTTGCAATTAACTATTAGTGAGTTCCACAAAGGCAAGGATCACACTTGGTTTTGCTTAGCATCATCTCTCTAGAGTGTAGCATGACATTTAGAAAATACTAGGCCCTCTATAAATGTTGGATGACTGAATAAATGCCTGCATGATTAAATAAATGGGTGCATTCGTGAACAAGCAGAGATTCAGGCAGAATCAGAATGTGGGATTGTGTAACAGTGTAGGTCCATCAGAAAGGCATTGACAACTGAGTCATCTTATCCAGATGGCTTGGACCTTCCCTAACTGGTCCTATTCCTTGAGCTCACCTTTCAAACCGCGCGTGTTCTTCACGCCTGACAAGGTTCAGAAGTGCAGAAGCTGCAGTTTGGTTGGTTCATCTCACATCCTCAGCTCAGGGTGTGGCATGTGGTGGGCACTTAATGCATTTCCCCCTCTAATGAATGAATGAGCCACTGCCCAGGGAGTGCTCACATTTTCATCTACCATTCCTGTTGGGCAGGGGGGCTGGGATGTCTGGTGTCTTTTGGAGCTGGTGCACCTGATGCCTCTGAATGTGTCTTAGATACAGTTCTCCTTGGGAAAGGATTCTGAACAGTGTGTTTTGGTGTTTTAGGCCATTCATGGTCAGAGCTTTGGCCTCTCC